AAACCCCAACCCCAACCCCAAACCAAGAAGAAAAGTGCAGCCCTCGCTCACGACCCGATTATTAGCCACGACTTTAAATGGAACCTGATCTGCTGGAGTTAGAACTAGAATCCATGTTTGGACGACCAAATTTTTTTTTCATTAAAAAAATTTTTTTAATAATTATTATATTGGTTTTTTAAAAATGAATGGATAGTATAAGAAAAGTGAAATTTAAATCAAAATATTCTCACCAAAACTGGATGTATTTGGAGATAATCTGAATTATGAAGAATTCAAAATTCTGATGCTCTAATTCTAAAATGAGATTCTAAACAACTAGACAATCTATTTAATAGATTTTTTAAAAAATGTATTAGGAAATTAAAGTATTAGAAAATATGGCCCAATATCTATAAAATAAAGACTATTTAACATTTAAGTCATAAATTCATATACTCAAGTAGTTTTACTCTAAGGAAAACGAAAATTACAAATGTATGTTATAATTATTAATAATAGAAAAACAAATACTATAATTGAATAACATTAATAATACAATAAAGAATATTCTATCAGATTTAACTCAAGAAGATGGTTCATTTAATTCTGGTCATTAAAATGATATTAAAATAGTAGAAATTAATCAGAAAATTGAATCTCATAAGTAGTTGAATACAAAAGAGGCTGAAATATTAGTAACTGAAGGTATCATTAATTTTATTTGATCTTAGGCTTTGCTTTAAACAATTTAAATAAATATTAAGAAGCAATTGAATGCTATGACAAAGCTATTACCATTAATCCAAAAGATGATGCAGTTTGGTATTATAAGGGTAATTAACTGTTAGACATTATTAATTAGGCAATTCTTTATACAATGTAAATAAATATTAAGAAGCAATTGAATGCTATGACAAAGCTATTACCATTAATCCAAAAAATGATTCAGCTTGGAGTAATAAGGGTAATTAACTGTTAGACATTATTAATTAGGTATTGCTTTAAAAAACTTAAATAAATATTAAGGAGCAATTGAATGCTATGACAAAGCTATTACCATTAATCCAAAAGATGATGCAGCTTGGTATTATAAGGGTAATTAACTGTTAGATATTATTAATTAGGCAATGCTTTAAACAGTTTAAATAAATATTAAGAAGCAATTGAATGCTATGACAAAGCTATTACCATTAATCCAAAAAATGATGCAGCTTGGTATTATAAGGGTAATTAACTGTTAGACATTATTAATTAGGCAATGCTTTATCTACTCATCTGAAGGTAAACATTTTAAATAAATATTAAGAAGCAATTGAATGCTATGACAAATCTATTACCATTAATCCAAAATATGATTCAGTTTGGACTAATAAAGGTAATTAACTGTTAGACATTATTAATTAGGTATTGCTTTAAACTATTTAAATAAATATTAAGAAGCAATTGAATGCTATGATAAGGCTATCACCATTAATCCAAAAGATGATTCAGCTTGGAGTAATAAAGGTAAATTATTTTATAAATAAGGCCTTACACTACATAAGTTAAAGAAATATAAGAATGCTATCATATGTTATGATTAAGCCCTATCTGTTCGCATAACTCCTCTTAGATTACTACGAAAAGGTACACCAATTTGCCTTATTTTTTAAGCTGATTCTCTATTTGAATTGGGGAATAAATAAGAGGCTAAACAATATTGTTTGGATGCATTATAATATGGTTCAAATCAGAAGGATTATATACAAAAATAACTACAACAGTTATGAAACAACGTTATATTAAAAATATCAAATTACAAAATCAATATTAACTTAATTAAACCTTCCTTTTCCTAGTTCTATTTCACATGTTTTGATATATTATAATCCATAATTTACTAGATTTGATTATTCTTACTGCCATTCCAAATTTTTCTAGTTCTAACTCGGATAGCAGTTTTGAAAACAACAATTATTGAAATTATTCATATCAAAAAAACAAATTTTCTCAATAAATTTTATTTATAATCTAAATGATATTAACAATCAAGTATAGATCCTTTTTTAATAAGATGAATTTTCAATAAGAAATCAATTCAACCATTTTTTGAAACTTCTTTTAGTTAATTTAAAAGTTGACCAAAATATTTTTAAACTCCTTTTTCATACATAACTTTTAAAAATAAAAGAAAACCATTTTGATAAGAAAGCCAGCCTAATCTCTATTAGTTTTTCTTTTTAAAAGTATGATCTCTTTCTAGAATAACCATAAAAGGAAGGTTCCTCAAAATTCTAATATTAGGGTAGTGTTTATCTTCAGTAAATTCAAAAGATTTTTATACTCAGTTAAACCATAATAGTATTTGATGATTATGACAATAAGTGTCAATAATAACCTATTACTTCACTCTTGACACTTAAGGCCTCAAATTTACAAGGATTCATTATGAAGATATTAAAAACTAAGATTCAATTTTATTTAGGATACAAACTATGTCTAAGTTTATAAAGACCTAATTCAAATTTAAGAAACCTGTAACAAAAGAATTAAAGTGTTGCAGGTAAGCTTTATAATCGGCTGCATTTTAGGTATGGGAGCCTCATTTCTTGAACTTAAATTCTCAAGATTTCAATGGACTTCGCTATGGTTTCAATATGAAATTTAATTAGTTAATGAAACTAAAGTAGAATATGTTAGTTTCTAGGTTTGCTAAAAACAACGCTAAGAAAATAAAGCTTCATAATCTATTAATGCCAATAGCTTTGCTTATGCATATGATTCTGCTTTCGCTATCATCAAATCCTCTGCAAATTTTCTTTGTATAGTAATTTCTAATTAATTAGGAAAATATCCTTAATATGTTAAATTGTATACTAAAACTTAGCTAACGTACTTAATACTAGGATAAAGAATTTAATTATGTTAATAATCTTGTTCTTACAACTTTTAATGATGTTGCAGAATTGGCTTTGGAAATAATTTCATCATCTTTCTAATGTTATGGAATAAAATATTGCGCTAGCTTTATTACTATCATGCATATTTAACAACTATGTATACATATCAAGCTTCCCCAAAATAGGTGACTATTGTTATTTTAGTTGAGTTTAGGTCAAAACCATAACATATTAATTTGAGGGTGTTTTTATGTAAAATTATTCTTCTTAGGGTTTTGCCATAATAAGTGCAGTTGACAGTTGAAATCCAAGTATTTTTAAGGTAAAATAAATACCTTCCTTCACCTGAGGATCTTCCCTCTACTACGAATTCTTTTAATTTTAAATTCTAGCCTCATTTACTGATCACTCTGTACTATTATTATAACCTCAGCAAGATATTTTCCCACTTTTTCAAAGCAATTCAATATTTCATTATTATAGCAAGTTGATGGATTTGTATCAATATTCCATTTACATTAATTCTTGCCTCCCAAGAGTAAAATTTAAATATTAATAATTAGTTCCAACCAGACTTTCAGTCCATAGGTAAATTATTAAGCCCGATTTNAATTATGTTAATAATCTTGTTATTACAACTTGTAATGATGTTGCAGAATTGGCTTTGGAAATAATTTCATCATCTTTCTAATGTTATGGAATAAAATATTGCGCTAGCTTTATTACTATCATGCATATTTAACAACTATGTATACATATCAAGCTTCTCCAAAATAGGTGACTATTGTTATTTTAGTTGAGTTTAGGGCAAAACCATAACATATTAATTTGAGGGTGTTTTTATGTAAAATTATTCTTCTTAGGGTTTTGCCATAATAAGTGCAGTTGACAGTTGAAATCCAAGTATTTTTAAGGTAAAATAAATACCTTCCTTCACCTGAGGATCTTCCCTCTACTACGAATTCTTTTAATTTTAAATTCTAGCCTCATTTACTGATCACTCTGTACTATTATTATAACCTCTGCAAGATATTTTCCCACTTTTTCAAAGCAATTCAATATTTCATTATTATAGCAAGTTGATGGATTTGTATCAATATTCCATTTACATTAATTCTTGCCTCCCAAGAGTAAAATTTAAATATTAATAATTAGTTCCAACCAGACTTTCAGTCCATAGGTAAATTATTAAGCCCGATTTGTTTGTATTTTTAGGCTTTACTAAAATTTCATGTTTATTTAGCACCATTTTTATCTTTTTTTACATTAAACGGCTTATCTAGATTAGGTATAATCTAATAAATTAATTTGGTTGAATCTACATTAACCATATATAGATCTTTAATATGAGATGAGAATCCGTCGTCTTCTTGCTAATATTAGCACAAGCACCTTTCCATATTTTTTTTACTTTCAGTATTCCAATTTCAATATTAATATTTATTCAAGGCAGATATTAACCATAGGATTCCTCCTTAAGCATTGAAATTTTTTTAACTCATACTTCATTTGTTCTGAAAACTAAAAAGATATTCAATTTTAACACGTATTAAATATAATTACGATCACTATAAATTACCTTAACGTCGTATATTACATCACTGGCTGCACTTTAAGTGATTTCGTGTATGCTTTTGATAAAAAATTTTATTACCAATATTCCTTAATAAGAGGAGATTACTCACTTTTGATAACAAATTCCATAATATATTTTTTATTAAAGTACATTTCTTAAAGTAATTTGAGCTTATCCATAGTTATCTAGATTTAAAGAGCAGTAAAGCATGATTATTAGAAACAAGATCCAATATAATGTATTCTGCACTTTTTTGTCCTTCTCTTTATAAATGGCATTTTCACAACCTTCATCAATTTCTTGTTAACTAAAAGTAAACAAATTAACTTCTCTCTTAAATAATTTTTGCCTATAAATCTAGCAGTCAAATTCACATATTGCAACTAACTCTACACCATAAATTAATTACCTAATAACAGTCTTTGAATTTAGAATCTTTGATGTAAGCTACTAAAAGAAGATGAAAAAAGACACAGTATTGATACCATAACTTCCATAGTTTTTGGCAAGGACTTTATTCCTTGAATGATAGTTTTGAATTAAAAAAAACCTTTGATGAAAAAATTTAATGAAATTTTTCAGGATTCTAGTTTCCACTTTAGTGAATCTTCTGCTTTGAATTCAGACTATACATCTTGTAAATAGGAGTGACAGCATTATTTCTCCTCCTTTATGACTTATCTCAAGGAGTATCTCCTGCATCAAATTAAATGCCCTCTTACAATTTGGTTCAAAAAGAGACTGAGCGCGACTGTAGAATTCACTTTATCCAAGATGGATTCAAAAGATCAATGACTCTTAATGACCTAAGTTTTTATTAGTTTAATAAGTGAAGGATATTAACATGCCAAACTTGGGACATGACAGATTGATGATAAATTCCTTTGCATTAAACATTTTATTAATTTTAGGGGGCATATGAATATTTTTAACAAAAATGATCCATTAAAATGCCTGGAATAAAATATACTTAAAAATTAAATAACTAAGTAATACGTTTAGACAATTATTTTATTCTAAAAGTAACTTGAAAAAATAATAATATTCATAATATAAATGAGATAGAATTAGTCAAAATTAACTGAAAAACTTTTCGATAATGAAGAAACGCCTTTAATTCCATATTATTAATCTGTAAATAGAAATGCATTTATCACTTGAGGTGGAATGAGATTTCATCGTACTAAGTTTACTGAGAGGATAGATTGATCGATTATAAAGCCTGTGGGATAGATATTAAAGCATAACTCTTGGCTTAGATGAATTTGAGTATCAAATCGACAAAAGAATTCGAACTTGTTTAAGCAGTGAAATGATTGCAAGAGATTTAGAAAATATAAATCAGCTTAGAGAGAAGTTATCAGTACCGAAGGAATTATGAACTTACACTAAGAGTTCTACTCAGCCAAAGTAATTGATAATGAGGAACATGTAAATTCTCTTGATATTACAAATCAACTTCTCAGTATGGTGGGCATTTGTAGAGTGGACGATTAATATATCATTAAAAATTTAATAACCACTTACAAAAAGTCTAAGAAGAAAATCCTAGAGAAATAGAATTAAGAACTAGTGAGATAAATCATAGTTGACGAATAAAATCCACCTCCTATCTAGTTAGCAGAGGATCCCTTCAATGACTCAATGGAAAATAGCTAAAGAATTGAAAATCAAGTGTGAGTAAGACTAAATTAAGCTGAAAGATCTAATAAATGCCCTTATATTAATACAATATTTCTTAAATTAAGGCTTATATATTAAAGATAAGAATTAGAGAGAATGATATCTAGTTTGCAATAATTTTAAGCATACCTGGAATAAATATTTCTAAACCCATCCCAGGCCCATTTTGATTTCAAGTTGGAATTGTTTGAGGAATTTCTTCTTGCCAATAATGGCTATTAAAACGTTGGTCCGATGCTATTGCAAGTGAAATTCTGATACCTTAAGTTAACCTTAAGACTAATATGAAGAAGCTCAGATTCACTAATTGTAAGCATATGAAGATTATGTTGAAGAAATAGTCAGAATAAAATTATGAAATTCAACCGCAGATAGCAATAATAGCTCAAGAGTTAAACAAAGTATAAGAGCTTTTATCGTAGCATATCATACAACGAGTGGAATTTGAATAATCACTATCGATTTAAGGTCATGGATATTTGCCATCTATATTTATTTAGTAGGCAGATAAATTTTAAAATTGCTTTAAATGACAATACGTTTATTTTCAGGTAGCAAAATATGGTTTTAGAAAAATCTGCCTTTGCAACTTAAGTATGGGTTTAATTCGGACTTGCATAATGATGCGCAT